TTCCCGTGGTTCAGACTGATGAGGACGTCCATCTTCCTGTGGAGAAAACACTTTCATTAATGACACAACAACACATTTAAATCTCAAAGGACACAAAGCGTCCCACCGGCTCCCTGTCCGTCAAAGAACAGACTTCTAAACACTCTGACCTCTGACCTCTCAGGGGTTTGTTTACCCAACACGTTCAGCGTCTGCGCTCCATTAATCTGAACAAACTGTCGCTTAACGTTTTACATTTTAAACAGATGTATTTGTACTTGTCAGTTTTTATTGTTTTTTTGTCGGCTGCAGATGAATTCAGAAATGACGAGACGACAGATTGTTTCTTTTTTGCTTCTGGAACTTCTTTGAACATGTCAGCCTCACATCGTCGGCGTGACGTCAGAGAGAAAGTGAAAGCGGTGAGCAGAATTTAAAAAGAGAGAGAGAGAGAGTGAATGCATCAGGTGAGGTGAGGTGAAGTGTCAGAGTGCGTCGTGTCTGAAAGTTCCTCGGCTTGTTTGTGAAATATGAATTAAATCAGGAAGGTTTGCAGAGCAGTCGGCTCTGCAGAGACTCGGACTGCACGGTCTGCTCGCTCATCTGTTCGGAGCCGCGGGACGACCGAGGCCCCGGCGCGGCCTCAGGCTACATCACAGCCCGAGCAGAGCGCGCTCCTCTTTATTATTCTGCAGCTCCGCCTTTATATTCAGAGGCCCTCCTGCACGCCGCCACACACTCACAGCTGGCCTCACACACACACACACACACACACACACACACACAGTAACACACACAGGTCTGCACTTGTTTCTCTCCGCTCTCTGTGTCGGAGGATTTCAGGCGTTTCACTCGTTCCGTTTCCTGCGTTCTCATTAAAGCGCAGTAATTGGATCGGCCGTAATGGACATATGGAAATTGCGGTGCCGTTCATCATTAGGGTTTTAATTGCGCCCGTTTTTGGCCTCAGATTTCTCTGTCTAAATAAGTCATAGGAGTTCAGGAGCCCGGCAACTGTCCGTCCACACACACACACACACACACACACACACACACACACACTCTGACGGCTGTGATAATGAGGACCCCCCCCCCCCCATTGTCTTCTCTCTTTAGCGTTGTGCTAATGTCAGACTTGTTACTCTAAACAGCATCATAATAATAATTCAGCTCGTTATCGTTTTTCTGGAGGCGTTAAGAGATGATCACTTTTAGATTTTAACTCCTTTTTCACAGATTATTTGTGGATTTTTAAAGAGAATATCTCGGCTGATATAATCCGCCTTCATGTCGGTAGGACAGGAGATTTTCCTGCATGTTTCCTGCTGCGTTCACGCCTGCAGCTCACCCCGACTTCACCCAGAAATGTTTCCGGGAGGTCGGCATGGAGACGGTCCGGGGAATATTTTCAGGAGTTTTGTGCAGGTGTAGAAAAAGGGCACGAATTTCCTGTGTGTCAGATGTTTGATTTCTTTAAGTCGCTTGTACTTCATATCTATTTGCACAGACGAGACTGGACTTGTAGAAACACTGTGCACTGAAAGAGACCCCTCCATGCCTCCTCCTCCTCCTCCTCTTCCTCCTCTCTCCTCCTCATTCAAACAGTCTTCTTGTAAAAAAACATCTTGTCTTGTTTTTGTCTTTTTGGATTCCTGTGACTCTACACGCTCTCTGCAGCTCAGCGAGACGTTCAGGTCTCTGCATGTTAACTACGAGCTGAATAGAAGGAGGGGTGGGGGGTGTTAGGGGGGGTGGAGGGTTGGAGGGCTAATTTAGCTGACATCCCCGGTCGGTGATAATGGTGGGCAGGTTGTTAATCAAGCTGGAGGTGCAGACCTCAGCGTGTGGTGGAGGAAAGCTCCCAAGCGAGTAACACTGATGAACCAACCCCCCCTCCTCCCCTCCTCCCCCACTGATCGGACAGAGAGGGGGGTGGGGGGGAGAGAGAGAGACTGATGATAATTTACCGTTACTTTTGCAGAATGTGCAGCAGAGGCATATTTCATACACTCTCCCTTTCTTATTCCCAGAAGAGATCAATGACAGTTTGATTATAAATCAGGAAATAATGTGGAAAAGTTTAGACTGTGAGAACTCAACAAATCAATCTTTGAATCTCTTTAGGTTCTTAACTAAAACAAGAACGAAAGAGCTGCCGTTTTACTGAACCTGCAGCTTTAACGCGTCATTATTCAACAGTATTACAGAGTAATAGTAGCTCAGCTCACAGCCCCTGAATCCTCAGCAAAGACTGTCTGAGGTTTGTTTTGTGGTTAATTTGACTCCCGTTAGAAACCTTGTAAGCAGCAAGCACTGATGGAATCTAAACTTTCATACATGTTGAGCTCTTAGAAACAAGCTAGCAGCAGCTTGGCTCGCAGTCTTCCCTGAGGGCCTGCATCCATCAAAGAGCAGAGAGAGAGAGAGAGAGAGAGAGAGAGAGATGTGATGTGAAACTGACACAGGGTCAGTTCATACTGAGCGGAGGATGATACACACTACAGGGATAAAAATCAAGTTAGCAGCAGCTCAGCTCACAGCACCTCCTCCAGCATTGAATCTGCTAAAGCATCAGAACATTTTTACACATGAAACTTCACTATTCCATTTTGTTTCTATCAAAAACTACTTTTGTGAAGAGGAAGACAACTCATTTCCTGTGAAGATTTGTGAACAAAAAAACACAAAGTTATCTGAAGCCAAAAACATGCTATTTTCTTAAAACAAGCTCGCAGCAGCTCGGCTCACAGCCCCTCCCCTTCCAGCATCGAGTCTGCTTAAGTCCACTAAAACATCAGAAGACTCTGATTTTTAAATATTAAATTTCTTTATTCACTGTTTTTTATTCCATATTCTGCTCCAAAGCCAGAAACAAGCTTAGTATCTAACAACAAGCTACCAGCGGCTCAGCTCACAGTCTCCAGAGAAAATCAAAGAACAAAATATAGAGAGTTTGATTTTTATGGGAAACTGTTGTTTGTGTTTTAAGTTCATATATATATTCACCAGGTCTCTTTGTACTGAGAGGAGGATGATAAATAATAAAAAAAAACAAATCAAGCTAGCAGCAGCTCAGCTCACAGCCTGTCCTCCTGCACTGAGGCCGCTCAAGTCTTATTTAGAGATCAGACAGTGGATAGAGTTTGAAGTCGGGAGAGAGAGAGAGAGATTGGGGAACGACATGAGGGAAAGGAGCCACAGGTCAGATTTGAACCCGAGCCGCCTGCCTGGAGGACGACAGCCTCCAAATATAGGGTGCACACTAACCGCTAGGCCACCGGCGCCGCAGAAGTCTCAGAAACTTCTCAATTCAATGTTTTTTTTCCCAGAGAGGAGGATTCTGCTCCTAGTGACGATTTAGTGACTTAAATTATACGAGTCTAGAAACGAGCTTTACACCCGGAAACACACGAGCAGAACCTCCTCACGATTTAAATGAAGAAATGTTTTAAACCTCGCCGACCTCGAGGTCCATGCTGCTTGTAACTCGGGAGTGACGAAGCTGAGCAGGAAACAAAAGAGGGGACACACAGGGTTAAAGAGAATGAAAACAGTGACATTAAAAGGATCCAGATGAATGATTTAAAACGTGTCTCTCTGTCATTTGACTTTTCATGGTGTTGAAAGCTGACAGAGTGACAGCGGGGAGCGAGCTGCAGCTGCTCGCTGGGTCGATGCCGATGTTTGAATAAATGGGAGATGAGAGGGCAGCCTGTCAGAGAGAGCGACTCTCAGGGATGCCAGGTGAATAACAGAAGGCTTCTTCTCGCTGCACATCTCCAGCTCCTCGTGCACAAACTTTGTCCCCTTTTTTGCTCCCCAAAGAATCCGTCAGAAAGTAAAACCGGGCGTGACGCTAAGCTTTGCTGATGCGCTGCAGCTGGAGCGGCTGACGACGGTGACGCTAATGGCTTTGAAACTTCTCTTAAAGATGTGAAAATTGAGCCGTCTGAATAATTCACAGCGAAGCATATGTGAGGGCTGTCACTCGGCATCCAGCAGTCATCGCTCTGCAGAGTCGGTGTGGCAGAAGTTCTGATCTGTGCAGGAAGCCTGGGGACCAGATGAGAAGTTCTGCTGCAGCGTGAGACGGCCGCCGTTTGGAAGGGAAGTGACAGGCACTCAAAGAAATGGACTGAGCCGCTCTACAGAGACCGGACGTCACACGAGCGGCTCTCTGCAAAACAGACCCGACGCAGGGGGGAGGCGGTCTGAGCTGCAGGATGCTAAAAACATGAACCAAACTTTTTTAAATATCTACTCATTAATGTTTGCTTTCACGCAGGATTTCATCTCTCTGCCTTTGTGACACGACCAGCACGTAAAGAAAGAGTGTGAGAGAAGCATTCAGAGAAGGAAAGTTAAAGATGTCAGAAACCACCAACATGAAGTCAAAACGATTTTAAGGAAAACAAACTAAAGCGAGCAAACATCACGAGCCCAAACATCAAGATAACATTCATTTGGATACTTCTCAACGTCGTCCGCCAGTCCAAGGAGTTAAAATCTGTAAAGTCTTTGAAAAATATGTCTTTTGTTTTTTTATATTCAGGATGAAGAGGGAAATGTGTCTCATGTATAGAGAATCTGTTGATTAGAGAGTTAAAACTGCAGAACTTAAAAAAACAAACAGTTTAGAGATTGCTCTGTGCTACGTCTCAGTAAGCTTAGAAGAGCAGCGGGTTAGAAACCTCTGCAGAGGACAACACAGTCTGTTAGTTTACCTCGTGGATGGTTTCTCTTTGAAAGCATGTCTTTTGTGTTTGTCTCTCTTTGTGTCTCCATCTGTAACTTTGTGTTTGTTCTGCTCACCGTCTCATCGCCCTCCCCCAGACGAGAGGTTCTTAATCTGAAGGGGACGGACCCGGTTAAATAAAGACCCAATAAATAAATAAAAGAGTGTGTATTAAAGTCAAGTTAATCTAGTTATAAAGCAAGTAATTAAAAGATCTTGTTTGCAGTTATTCCTTTCAAAATGTGGCCTTGCTGCTCAGAGACGCTGGAACAGTCTGCAGGACGACCTGAGAGGAGACGGGAATGTTCAGGTCGACTGAAACCTCTCCTCTCAGTCTGACAATGATGAAGCTGAGGGGAATTCTCTGGCACGACTTCACCGACTCCCACCTCTCGCCCGTCGACAGAACAGCTTGAGGAGCTGCAGCAGCACTTTCAGAAGAAGAACTTCATGAACTTTATTAGAGCGACGCGTTTCGGCTCGTGGCCTTCATCAGGGTCACGTCATGACGCTGTCAAGAAATGGGTCAGAACAAGGATTGTTCAGATGACCAAATCAAAAATCTTTTAAAAACACAATCTGAAAGCATGCATCAGGTTGATTAAAATGTGACATTTGTATTCATGTGGGTTTTGTGTTTTTTAAAATTACATTTACACCATTTTTTGAATGGACTGAATGGAAAAATGTCAAGTGGTGTAACCACTGAAAAATTAAGAATATTGAATATTTTATTCATATAGAGCATGTGTAAGTGTACTCATGATTGTAATTACTTCATTTTAAAATAGCACAAGAAAATAGATTTTATTAGGATTATCCCTAAATTTACAAGTTATGCCCTCTTTTAATACTGAGCGGGACACAGAGCTGAAACCACCTCTGTTTTCTAATTAATTTTTGACAAATTATTTAAAAATTGTTAAAAAAAACACGTTAGAATTTGTATTAACTTGTATAAAGCTGAAGTTAAATTTTCTGCCTTTTTATTATTCTACAGTCAAAACGCAGAGTTTCAATTGTCAAAGCTGCGACTGGTTGATCTTTACATCCCTCAGTGACACAGAGCCGTCTGCATCCCGACAAGGAGGACGATCAGGGGCCGCTCCATCATAAACATCTTCATCATCAAACCCCCCCCCCCCCCACCCCGCTGGAGCAGATGGAGCCATGTCCCGACAGCCTGTTTAATTATTGACTAGCATTAGCATTAGCTTCTGTACCTGCGTTGTAAAGCAGGTGTCGACTCCCCCTTCAGTTATTTTTTCTCCTCCACCGTTATTGTGAAAACACCAGGTGAGGACACGCTGCTGCACGAGCGCAGCCACTTAACCTCTCGATCGGGGGCCCCAGCAGGGTGTGCGGGGCCTCCTGACGGGGATGTACAGAGGGGGAGGAGGAGGAGGGGGGGGGCGTCACCAGATGCCGGAGTTTCAGGCCTGATGCCGCAGCTGTCAGCACAGATGATGCCTCTGCTGTGAGTGCTCCTACATGAGCGAGCGAGCAGGCGAGGACGCCGTGATTCCTGCACGTCCCCGTCGGGACAGGAAGCTGCAGCAGAGCACTTCCTCTCCTGCTGAAGCTTAGAAAATATGTTCCCCAGCAAAGCTTCTCTTGAGAGGTCAGGCAGAAAGTCAAGCAGGACCGCTGAGGAGGAGGAGGAGGAGGAGGAGGAGGAGGAGGAGGAGGAGGAGGAGGAGGAGGAGGAGGCCTCGCGTGGAACACAACACGCTCCAAAAATGTGCAGTGAAACGGCGATTCTTCTCCGGCTGAGTAGAGCCGTGTTAGCGGAGCGCCCTGTGCGTCGGAGAGAGCGGTGATGGAGCAGAAGCAGACAGATGGACGGAGACGGAACTTTCCGGGGCCTCCTCGCTCCATGCAGGTGGTCCAGGGTGCAGGGATTGTCAGCGCGTGGTGAATTATTTAAACGGGGAGCGTGGAAAAGGGAATGGCTGCATCTGTCGCACATCCTCTTAGAGCCCCTCCAGCAGATGTGTTTACTCGCCGCCCGCAGCAGCTAACTACTTAATGGGTCACCATCGGCAGCCAAGAGTTAATTAAGCAGGCCGTCTGCAAACGGCGGCACGGAGCATCAGCGATGAGCAGGCCGAGGCGTTACAGATGTAGAAGCTCAAATTAACCTTTTTACTGCATCCTCAGCCAGTCGGACCAGATTATCCGGCTTTTAGTTAAAGTCTTTATGAGATTTTTCACATATAATATAAATCAAGTATCTCCTCTGAAAATAACTCTGTGAGTCATGACTGTCTACAATGGGTGTAACACCCGAGTCCCACTGTCTGTGATGCTTTCAGAGTCCTATCTTCAGTTTGTTTACATCGCCCGGACAGCCGGCTGACTCCTCCCCTCGTGTATAAAAGTTGTTTAATTGAGGGACTAGAGAAAAGAAGAATAACATACTGTACTCACTGCTTAACTGTGTTTCTAGATCACGCTCATTTCAGGTAAATTTACATGCAGTGTGAAGATACGAGCATAATAAAGATCACTAGCATTAGCATGCTAACACAACAATGCACCGCAAGTTGTTTTGGTTTCATGCTGGTGCTCAAGGGCGACATCTGCTGGATCAAAACATCACATATAAAGCCTTTAAACAGTGATGCATCCTCTTTCCATCGTTCAGATCCTTTAGATAAAGTATCACCAGCAGCACCTCTGCACAAACACGACAAACAGAGATCCATGTTATCGATCCACACTGGATCCACTTGTTAAGGTTGGTGAGGCAACTGTAAATGAAATGGTCATCGCAGAGGAATGGTGAGAAAATGTTCCCATGTCAAGGTCAATGTGTTGACTGTGTGTTTGACCTCTGACCCGGTCTTCAGCCTCCTCTTGTGGATTTGTTTGCCGACTGTTTTTGGCCTCGCAGTGTCCCGAAACCTTTGAAACGCTCCCTCTGAGTTACTCCATATATACTCCATGTTTACTTCCCTTGAAGAAGCCATGCTGCAGATAAACATGTTGTCATGTTAGCGTGTTAGCATGTTAGCGCTGAATGGGGAGGATCTGAGGTGAGGCTCAGGTTGATGTGCAGCGGTTACAGCAGCATGGTCCTCCTCATATGAAACATAATCCAGCAGAGCTCCTAATCATACATTTTTGATTGGATTGTCGTATCGCTGGGACATTAAAATCTGTTGTTCCATCGAGAACGCCTTAGCGATCATCTGTTATGCTTCAGGATTAACAAAAAAAAACGAGATGACGTTAAAGTCAAACAGGATCTGCAGCCGGGGAATAAATGCATATTTACTCTGTTGTCACTGAAATCTCAGAGGGCTGTATGTATGGAGGCTTCTTTATACAATGTTTACTGCGTCCTCAAACCACAAAATACAACTACTAGATCACACACACACACACACACACACACACACACACACACACACACACACACACACACACACACACACACACACACACACACACACACACACACACACACACACACACACACACACACACACACACACACACACACACACACACACACACACACACACACACACACACACACACACACACGACAAACAGATTAACGTACAGCTCGTTTATAGATTTAAAGTTGTTTATCTTAGGAGTAAAGACGTCAACGAGGAGCAGAAAACATCACAGAGACGCAGAGAAAACACCAAATGCATAATGTGTGTGTGTGGGTGTGTGTGTGTGTGTGTGTGTGTGTGTGTGTTTGTAACTGTGTCTAAATGGAAAATGGACTTGAGCTTGTTTAGTTCTTTTCTATTCTTCTGACTACTCAAAGCATTTTTACTCCGCAGGTCACACCTACACATTCACACACTGATGGTAGAGGCCGCTGAGTAAAGAGTCCATCAGTATTAACTCATCCATTCACACAGTGATGGTAGAGGCTGCCACTTACTGTCCGACTTCATAGAGTTTGGGAGCAGGACACAGCATGTAATCATTCCGGACAGCAGTCGGCTTCTGATCTGCAGAAAATCGAGAGAACAACACAGAACCGGGTTTTAATTCTCTCTCTGGGTCATTTACATTAAAAACTCTCAAACATACAAACATTTTTAAAAAATAGAAAGTGTCTCTGGTTGTCATAGTAACAACATATGTTGAACGCCTCTTTGTTTTCGATTTGTATGATAACGTCAAAATAACCTCAGCAGTTGTAACCACGACAACCACAGAGCGCAATCAGCTGCAAGTCACCAGGTAACACGGTCACACTTTGTATCGTAACACCGGTGAGGGAATATAGGGAAGAACTGCAGAGTGGCCTTAGAAGGCAACAAGCCCAGTGCATTCTGGGTGTTGAAGTATTTCAAGGTAGCAACACAAGCGATGTAGCATCTTTCCACTGCAGACACCGTGTAGACATTCTTCACACGAGGTGACATCAGAAGTATCTCGATGTTCAGCAGAGAACCTTTAACGACAACGAGCGACAGAATCCTCGTCTGAACTCCGTGACCTCTCCGAACCCTCTCGTGTTTCATGAAGAGGATTACACGGTTTAGTTTGTGTCATTTTCAAAGCTTTATTTCTTTTTTTAAGTGTTCAGGAAGTAGCAGAAACTGTGTCATATGTTGGATGTAAGCTATCGTTTAATCACTGGGAGTTACATAAGGTTTAAAAAAAGAAAGAGATGACAGATTGTATCCTGTTTGTGTGCGAGTGTGTGTGTGTGTGTTCATGCAGTGTGTGTGTGTGTGTGCGATCAGCAGGTTACAGACAGAGGCCTGAACCGTCTTCAGCCGCTGCGGTCGCTCTCATTATTGATATTTTTTTGCTGCTTGTGCGCTCACAGACTGAAGCATCTGCTCTACATATGTGCTGTGTGTCCATGATGCCTGTCCGTAATTATAAAATGCCCCCACTGTTCGAGAGGTCTGCACTGAACACATGCAGGAGCCAATCAGGGAATAAATAGCCCCAAGTGGGCGAATGTGAGACGGTCTAAACTGAGAAAGGACTAACAGGAAGACATCTGCTAACGGCCACTTCCTGAAGAAGACGAAGTTATTTTTTTTTAAAAAGGAATCAAATAAATATGCTCGAGTGTTTCAGTCAAGTGGAGGAAATCAAAAATAACTCGTCGAGCAGGGAAGTGTTGTCATTGGCAGCCGTCGATCCCGCGGATCCCGCCGCCAAATGAGAGCTTTAAAAGATTGTCTCCCTGTGCCAAATCCTGTTAGCTTCCTGAAGAAAAAGGATTTCTCCGAGGAGCAGCCTGAGAGCTCAGAAGAAGAAGGAGCACGCTGACCTACATAGAACCCTTTCTTCTTCTTCTTCTCCAAATGAGATCCAAAAGATACCGACAGAGAGCCGTTATCACAGGATTTCCTGTGTGCTTCCTCTGAATACCCACCATCATATGACATCACAGTGACCTGACTGACCTCTGTGTGTGTGTGTGTGTGTGTGTGTGTGTGTGTGTGTGTGTGTGTGTGACAGCAACAGTGCAGGGGATCAACATCTTCTGCACATTTAGAGTTCCTCGATGTTGAAACTTTTTAATAAACATTAGAGTCCCATGTCAGATGTTTGCATGCACCCCGGCATGCAGGCTGTAGTCCTTCAAGTGTGCGGCCGGGTTCCAATCCGACCTCTCTCTCTCTCTCTCTCTCTCTCTCTCTCTCTCTCTCTCTCTCTCTCTCTCTCTCTCGCTCTCTCTCTCTCTCTCTCTCTCTCTCTCTCTCTCTCTCTCTCTCTCTCTCTCTCTCTCTCTCTCTCTCTCTCTCTCTCTCTCTCTCTCTCTCTCTCTCTGAGTTAAAGTTTGTTCCACTTACTGAAGGTTTGCTCGTTGACGATGAAGCTGCAGACGACTCCTCCGTTGCTTCCGATGGAGAAGCCGTTTCCTCTGAGGACGATGTCGAAGGACTCTGAAAGGTCACGAAGACGAGATGAGACTGAGAGAAGGAAACTACTTCATGTTTATATCGGCTCTCCTGTTTCTCCTGTTTCTTCTCCTGATGTGATCTTATCATGTTCTCACTTTCTTAAAGAATAAAGGTTCTAAAGTTGAATAAACTTTCTAAGACTGGAAGAATGATTTTCAAAATAAGAGACTTCTTGAATCCCTCTTTAAACGATGCTGCAGGTTCAGTGACTGTGTGTGTGTGTGTGTGTGTGTGTGTCTGTGTGTGTGTGTGTGTGTGTGTGTGTGTGTGTGTGTGTGTGTGAGTGTGTGTGTGTGTGTGTGTGTGTGTGTGTGTCTGTGTGTGTGTGTGTGTCTGTGCGTGTGTGTGTGTCTGTGTGTGTGTGTGTGTGTGTGTGTGTGTCTGTGTGTGTGTGTCTGTGTGTGTTTGTGTGTGTGTGTGTGTGTGCATGTGTGTGTGTGTGTGTGTGTGTCTGTGTGTGTGTCTGTGTGTGTGTGTGTGTGTCTTCGTGTGTGTGTGTGTGTGCATGTGTGTGCATGTGTGTGTGTGTGTCTGTGTGTGTGTCTGTGTGTGTGTGTGTGTGTGTGTGCATGTGAGTGTGTCTGTGTGTGTGTGTGTGTGTGTGTGTGTGTGTGTGTGTGTGTGTGTGTGTGTGTGTGTGTGTGTGTGTGTGTGTGTGTGTGTGTGTGTGTGTGTGCATGTGAGTGTGTCTGTGTGCGTGTGTGTCTGTGCGTGTGTGTCTGTGTGTGTGTGTCTGTGTGTGTGTGTCTGTGTGTGTGTGTCTGTGTGTGTCTTCGTGTGTGTCTGTGTGTGTCTGTGTGTGTGCGTATGTGAGTGTGTGTGTGTGTGTGTGTGTCTGTGCGTGTGTGTGTGTGTGTGTGTGTGTGTCTGTGTGTGTGCGTATGTGAGTGTGTGTGTGTGTGTGTGTGTCTGTGTGTGTGTGTGTGTCTGTGTGTGTGCGTATGTGAGTGTGTGTGTGTGTGTGTGTCTGTGTGTGTCTTCGTGTGTGTCTGTGTGTGTCTGTGTGTGTGTGTGTGTGAGTGTGTGTGTGTGTGTGTCTGTGTGTGTCTTCGTGTGTGTCTGTGTGTGTCTGTGTGTGTGTGCGTATGTGTGTGTGTCTGTGCGTGTGTCTGTGTGTGTGTGTCTGTGTGTGTGTGTGTGTGTGTGTGTGTGTGTGTGTGTGTGTCTGTGCGTGTGTCTGTGTGTGTGTGTCTGTGTGTGTGTGTGTCTGTGTGTGTGTGTGTGTGTGTGTGTGTGCATGTGTGTGTGTCTGTGCGTGTGTGTGTGTCTGTGTGTGTCTTCGTGTGTGTCTTCGTGTGTGTGTGTGTGTGTGTATGTGTATGTGTGTGTGTGTGTGTGTGTATGTGTATGTGTGTGTGTGTGTGTGTGTGTGTCCACTCACCGTTCACACAGACGCTGGACGGCTCTATACTCAGGATCTCTGTGCACGATTGCTTTAATATCTGAGAGGAGGAGGGGGGGGGGGGGGGGGGGGGAGGAAATGAGGACATTATCGCTCAGGGGTCGAGAATAAATACACGGAGTCCCGGGCGTTATCGGCTCTGTCAAGTTTCCAAAACAGATTAGGGAGCAACACCTGAGAAACGTCTCGCTGCTGAACGCAGCGCGGCCGGCTGAAGGAGAGCGGCTGAATATCAGGAGGGAGGAACGGCAGCTGTGCAGGGCTTTATGGGAAAATTATGCAAGACTATTACATTTCTGAGTTCTATTAAAAGGCCCTGCGATGCTGCATTATCATATAAAGAGGCCGGCGTGAGCCCACTGTCACGGCGCCCAACGAGCCGCCGTGATTCAATAAATCAACAGAGGACAAACTATGCAAATCCCAGAACACAGAGAGTAAAAAGAAGCATATTAACGCAGATACGGCCCACTTGAAGCTTTCAGTCCACGTTGAGAGAAACTTCAATCTGAGCAGAGTAAGGGGAAGTGTTTATAGAGGACTTATTACATCTGATGGTTTGATATGAGATCATTACAGAGGAGGGGGGGAGGGGGGGGGGGGGGGGTCTGCTGCTCTCTGCAGACAGATTCTAACGTCTCCGTACTCTCCACGCTGTGCTCGAGGAAATCACAGGAAAAAATAAAAAATGACATAAAATATGAGGGACAGGAGGACGGAGTAAAGCGGTTTGACTCCTGAATGTTGCAGAATATATTAAAATAAAGAATCAGGATTAATTGAGTTCTCCTCAATCTCTATAGATCTGCAAACTAGATCCTCAACGTTTTGAAGAAAATGCTCTTAAAGCCGACGACAGAAATGAATTTTACATTTGTATCCATCGATCTGTCAATCTACACTGACAAGCCCCGCCCTCACCAGGAAGTGTCCCTGTGTCAAGCCCCGCCCTCACCAGGAAATAACTCTGTGTCAAGCCCCGCCCTCCTTGGTTACTGTTACTAGGTTAGACAAACTCTCAGGACAATCAAAGAATCAGGACAGAGATACTGTAATGTGTATGAGGAGAACTTTAAATCATTTCAAATATGATCCATGTCTGATGCTAGCGATGTCGGCTAACGTTAGCTAGCCGTGGCTGCTCGCCGTCTCGCCGTCTCGCCGTCTCGCCTCTCCTGACTGACCTCTGGACTCCATCAGGGACCGTTTGTGGAGCCAGAGGTCTAAAAACATCGTTGTTATGACGTCCCTGATTTAAAGACTGAACTCTTATCACAGTCTTAAATTCAATCTGTGATGTCTTCACCTCCTCAGTGGAGTTAAAGTCAAACAGCAGCTCTTCAAGAGGAGGAGGAGGAGGAGGAGGAGGAGGAGGAGGAGGAGGAGGAACACCCTCTGCTGAACTCATTCTGAGGACATTACTTGTTAAACAGGATCATAAAGTCATTCCAGTCTTTAAGTGGAACACAAAATAACAAGTGAAGCCCCGGCTGCTTCATGTTTTCAGTCGCTAAAGGAAGCTAACGATAACGATGTGGCTACTGAGTCATTTGGAGGGTTTTTCCCATAAATCCTGCAGCTCAGACAACAAAACGCTCCAGTGTGACCTGGAGGGAGAGAAGGAATCAAGGAATCCTGCAGCACAAAAAAAGCTGCACAGATGATCTGAAATGATTCAAGAGGAGAGAGGATCCAGGATTACTCATGAGGGAGGAATGCTCAGAGTTTCATTGTGCATGCTGCAAGAGGAGTGAGCACCACGCACTTCCTCTTCTTCTTCTCTAAAACATTTAGTAATGAAAACCACAGGAAGTGTGTGACATGACTTTAAGGGAGGAGGGGGCGACCTTCCTGCACACGCCTCGGCACCACACGCAGAAGAAGCAGCTCTCTTTTAGGAGGCTGATTTGAATGTTGATTATTAAAAGCTGGATTCTCAGAGATGACACCGTCCTACGTGAGAAGTGCTTTTTTTTTTTTTTTTTTCCTTCTCTTGTTTTTCAGACAGTTACTCACTGAAATGTTAAAATGACTTCTGCATCTGTTTTGAGTGAATCACAGTGACATGTCCACATCCACAGAAGCATCATGTAGACTGAGTTTGGAGAACCAGAGATGATTTTTTTGTTTTTTTGTGACATTGTTCTGTCTGTCCTGCATGATTTACATTTTCTATATGAACCAAATGCTGCTTTATGTGTGTCCTGCATGCTTTATGTATCTTCTCCTGTGGCTGCTCACCTGTCTGCTTCATTACTGTCATGATATTTCAATTTTTGTAGCTTTTAGAGATGTTTGAATTTGTTTTTTTTAGGGAGCCTTTTATAAAAAAATCTGTCCAGGGACAACAGATGAAAATTACTCTGGGATATTTACTGAAATGTTTATTAACATGCAATGTCCCTGTAAAGTCTAATAATGAAACCTTGATCTTAACGTCTCACTCTTTCCTCCTCAGAGGACAGACAGCTTCAGTTTCAGACCCGCCTTCTTGACGGTTCAGAGCGACACAATCAGTCACAGTTTTTTACACTTTGCATCAACAGAAACAGAAAGAGGACACGCCCTTCTGGCTGTGCGTCCCTTCCAGCTGCTTTTCTGAAACACTGCGAGCTCTGTGGACTCTGACAGATGTTGAGCCCGGCCCGGGTCACAGAGCTCCTGCAGGGCTACAAATGTTTGCCACACAAACCGCCTCCCTCCCCCTTGGCTGACAGCGCTTTTTCTAAAAGCTGCAGCTAATGGAAAGAACCGCTAATTGGCTGGCAGAGGAAGGGGGAGGCTGCAGGGAAGTTCACATAAAAAGCTGTTTCAGGGACTCTTCAGTTCAGCAGCATGTTTGTGTCCCGACACCAAAAAATAAAAGCATCAGAATGTGAGCGTCGACACACAACATGTGAACACTGTCAGCGTGGTTTAAACATCTCTCTCTCTCTCTCTCTGCACACTGAACACTTCTTTCCTAACACATTTCCGTGCAGCTT